TCTTTGCTTCATTTTACAAAGGCCTAACTGGATACAATATTCCTTGTCTATTTAAAAACGAAATAAAATGAGTTACGTTCAGAGCATATGTTCTCGTCGTTTCAGGTACGTTCAGAGCATATTTTCTCGTCATGGAGTATTTTTTGTTATTTCACGAATTGCTGAGCATTTGAATGATGGAATATTCAATGGTGGGAACACACTGTCGGTAGGATCAAAAGTCACTCAAACTGAACTATCCAAACAGTGAACCATGCATTTTGAAAAAAATCAAAAATAGATCGCATGAGAACTTCCTTATGAATAATAAAAAGTTCTATATGGAGGGACCTATTTTGGATATTATAGTTCGTATATGTAATGACTAGGTGCAAAAAAGGAAAGAGTATTACATCCTGTAAAATTTCTTTTCTGTATATGCTGTTTAGATACAGTCTTTTACAATATGCAAGAAGCATGATAATTTGTTTTTTGAACGAGAACAGAAAAAAGATGTTTTGGATATTATTTAAAGAAACAAAAAACAATGGTCATGTTATATAGATTCATTTTACAAAGGACAAAGTCACCAAGATGTACGTCATTGAAAACAAAGCTATGTTTTCAGATCGGAAAAAATAATGAGACTGTTCAATATCACAGGAAGAGAAAACGGAACATCGTAACCTACAGAGAACTAATTTTAGATGATATGTCAACGACTGCGTGTCAAAGCATCTTCTCAGCTTTTCCGGGTCGCTCAAAAGTCATATAGTTAAAAGATTTAAAAATGCTAGTTTAACATGAATTATGAGTTTTCATCTACTGTGGAATCATCATTGTTCATGGGGTACCAATATTCGTGGATTTCATGGGTCACCCTTACCCACGAATTTACATCCCCACGAACGTTTATTTTGTAAACATATTGATTCATTGAATCTACCATATAAACGAGTAACCCACGAAATTACGTCTCAACGAAGAAGTAAAATTTTGCTTGGCCACGAAAACTGACCCCCACAAATTAAAATGATTCCACAGCATGTCTTGAAAAGCAGTCTAGTGCTTCAAAAGGAAAATATGCTTGTTAGATACAAAACTGTTATATTAAAAATCAAACTTTATTTTAAAATGTACGATGCATGTGAATCTTGAAATCATTCAACAGATCTCAATCGGTTTCAAGGGCCATGGTTTAAAAAGGGATAACAAAAGTATGACTGTATATATTTGATTTGTAGCTTGTAAGAAGATGGATGCAAAATGAAATGTGAGATAGAGTTCAATGATCTAATATTTGTATTTTAAATTGATTCTAAAAGATTTAATGGACATTTTTATTTTCTATTCTCTCCAGAGAGGAGGTTTATATGAATGTTAATTTGAAGTTACATTAGACATTTTTGATGAAGTATAGCAATGCTGCTTTTGAAAATGCCTAATTGTATTTCTATGCATCTGATCTTTAATATGGCCTGGCTCATCTCAGGCAATGATTTAAGCAAACGCTAAATAATGTAAACAAGTTTCTTAATATTTTTTTTTTTACTGTCAATTCATTCTAAAAAAGTTACAGTGAGAAAGTCAAATTGTTCACCAGGAAAAGCTCTCTGAGCAGGAAGTAATCCACAAAGAGGCCATGAATTACAAATGAAAATTTTATCATGTATTTCGACTACTTCATTCTGAAAATACTAAATGTTAAGTGTAGCTTGATTTTTTAATTAAATATTCTATGAAATTTATAGTAATACACCAGAGTTAGTCATCATTTTAACTTTGTTCTTTCTTGTGATAGATAATTACATTCATGACCACCCACACATACGTAGGGTCAGGAGCACTGATCTTTTATATATTTTGAAGCAGCTGTAAAGTGACTTAATGCGTGGAATGTAATAAAAGAGAGGCAAGTTTCGAATCACGTCATAGTTCATTTCAAAGACAGAAAAAGATAACAGTCTGTTTTGATTTTTATTTCAATCAGAAGTGAAAGGATCTCTGCCAAAAGTTTAATAGAGCATGCCCAGCTAGTATAAATTATCCTCATGATGATCAGAGTGTGACAAAAATTCTAAAAACAAACCAAGATAAAAGATTTTGAAAAAGAAACAAGAAAACTAAAGGTAAAGTTTCCAAAATAATATTCGATTACTGGAGAAAGAAATAGAAAAGCGAGAAAAAAATTGAATCAAGATGTAAACACGTGTAAATCAAATTTACCACTTCAGTCGAGTCCACAAAAGAGAATCATGATCAATTACAAATTTTAAATCCCATTGATAGAAATATGTTCTGATTCCAAATATGACCCAACAGTAAAAGAGATAATTTTTTACGAGTAATAGAGTTTCCGAAGGTCAAATTTTCAAAGGCACAAATATCCAGTGAGATGATATTTATTTCTTTTCTTAGACAAAGCCAAAATGATCACTCCTACAAAAGTTATATGCAAATATACAAGTGGCTTGTGTAGGATGGTAAAAAAGATTGGGTAAGTGGTTGGGGCAAAGCGGTCAGTCTTCAATGGACACTACATGCCGAAATTACTTGATGAGATCAATATGACTCAGGAGGGGATCTTAATATACTGAAATTAAACCAAAGAAAACTAGAATATTGTCAAATGTAGAGGACAATGATGCAAAATATAATTAACTAAATAAGGGAACATCCTTATAAGTATCACTTCAAGAATAAAATTATCCGCCATCTGGAACAGACATTGAAAGAGAATGGATAATGATGAACAGAAAAACTCTATTTTAAAATGATTGTATTCACTGATTTGGTTGGGAACAACAATGGAAAAATTTGAGCCTTCGTGTAAATGCCAATACTATGGTTGTAGACCTATTTTTACATTCATATGAAACAGAATTTATTCAAAATCTTATACATGAGAAAAAGAAATCTCTTGTGGCCTTCAACTCGACGTTTAGATATATCCTTTTATGTGGCATTTGATTTTTATAAAATACGTGTATTATAAGTCACGGAAAAATTCCGCTTACCGGTTTTTTTTTCAAATTCCGGGAGTTTATATTTACAGTCCTCGATATTGAAGATTTATTTACTATTTTATGATTCCTTCCCATGTGAAATCGAAGTAATCGTATTTCAGCCAAATATTTCAGTGTAAATTTACATTCATTCAAAGGATTTTGGGTCAAAAAGGTCAGGGATTTTTCGGTGACTTTCATTCATTCAAATCATACGTCTCACCAAAGGTATTTTTTGAGCATCTGTTGAAAAAAAATTCTATATGTTACAGTAATTTTTCTTTGACATATCACTGATATGTTAGAATTACCGAAGGCAAAAATTAAGGCAAAATATCATGGCGATGATCAAGACGTAGTGCAACGGCACATCAACAGGACTACTACATATAAATTATTCACTATTGTGGAAGGTGCAACTACACATTGAAAATTCATGGAAGTCTCTTCAGTTACGGAACAAACTGGAGGAGTGGGGAATGTGTGTAAGGAGACATTATGTACTGTACGCTATATATTGTCGACAAGGCACAGACAATTTTGGTTAGCCCCCTTTTCATCCACTCCTGAACCCTAAAACACATGTATGGAACATTTAGATAGATCGGAGAGTGAGACAGCTTTTTCATCCCCAGTGACCAGATATTGCGGGCAAATTGTGTCTATTGCTAATCAGATAACGTTTTGATATGATGATATCAAAGTGTTAAAAAAAAACATACAACTTATTCATTCAAATTCTTCCAACCAATCAGAAACTGAAAGCAGAAAGGTTTCATTTTCGTAGATAAGTATGAGTTAAAAATAATTCCGCACTGCTTAGAATTTGCGATAAGTTTCAGTAGGCGCTTGTTAATTTTACCGATATGGATTAAGTATTCTTACTCTATTTAACGCGATGTTCATATACCGTTTATGACTATAACACCGGATGCTGTGGATAACCATAAACATGATAATATTCCTGGAAGTAAGCCCTTCACTTAAAAGTTAAGAATGTTTCTTCTTGAGATATAAGCTAGGAAAAAAGGACGTAAATTAGCAGTTTTTTCTTCGGATTATTTTCAAGAACCTTTCAGATCAGTACTTGTAGGGAATACATCATGATAATTTACTGGAAACGAGGTTATGGAATATTAAGTGGACACGAAATCTAGGTATATGTAAACGTTTAAATTGTTTCAAATGTGATGATTTATGGGGGGGGGGGGGGATTTGCTTTTCAATTTGATTTGCTTTTACTGCCAAGAAGATTGTTTCTAAACCGATAACTTATGTAAATAAATAGGTGAAGAAATTCATCTGGAAAACAAGTACTCTGTGATTTTCAGCATCTGAGAATGCTTTGAATCAAAGATTTTCAAAGAATGATATGTTCATTTCAATACTGCAACAATTTTCACATGCGTCATCTAACATTTTCAACATGCAAAGATGTAACAAATACAACTTTTTTTTTAAAAAAAATCTGGCGGTAATCTGGCTCCCTTCAGATCATTATCTAAAACCTTGGGAAAAAAGCACATTTGGTGATTTTTATTTATTCATTAGTTGCTGAAAATAAATGTAACATATGAACGATATGTCCAAGTAATGCAGTGGAGTTCTGAAAACCAAGGTGCATGTGTGTGTGTGTGGGGGGGGGGGGGGGGGGGGTCTGTGTGTATGTGTGTGGAGATACTGAACAGGTACTCTGAAACAGAAAAACGTGTACTAAAACTACTTCTTCAATTAAATGATGAGAATTCATATGCTTCTGAAAATCAAAGGATGAATTCCAAATAGATGTTACTGAGTCCATAATTTATCAATCTTTCCGTTGATTTTACTAATGGGTGATGGCTCACTTTATGACAAAACTTCTCATCAATTTTGGCCCCAATATCTTGTTTGGTATTTACCAACAGTATCCTCAGAAATGCTAGATAATGTAGTTTTATATCAAAATAGCACAGTAAGAAACCTAACAGAATTTTTTTTCATTTGAGTGATTGGACATTTATTTGATATCAAAAGACATATTCTTTTGTAAATGCATGCAAAAAGGCTATGGAAAATGAAAATATTACTAAAATTGTATTAATGAAAAATATTTTTCAGGTACAATACAAGTATTTAGAATTATTGAGGGAGTCTGTTTAACAGAATACTTCTTATACCAAAAAGTCAAAATATTTGTGGCATTAGACATATGAAATAAATTTACATTTAGAAAATTAAATTACTTCAGCAGAGATTCTGTTTAAAAGCAAATAAGATATATAATTAATCATTAGCTATTTTACATTGGTATATTTTGCCATTATACAGCAAACCACCTAAACTTACGTATACTCTAAGTACACTGTGTGATACAGAAGCATGTTTAATTCTTGAACAGAATGAGTAATTTCTACATCCATCCAATTCACAACCTCTTCACACTGTCAGCAGCTTTGTAGTCAGCTTTCATTCATTACTAGGCAACAAAACATATACAATAAAACAAACCATTTTAACAGAACTGACTTTTAGTTAAGAAACTGACTTTAAAGTGGTAAATATGAAGAATTTTTTTTAAAGATCAGAGAAACTTGGCAGACATGCTTATCATCATTGTTGCAATAAAAAAAGCTTTCGGTTTCTTCTTAAGAATTCTATGTTTGGTTACAGGAACAACTGGTCTGTTTTCCTTGTTGACCTTGACGTAGACAGTCTCCTGGTTACATGTTTCCTACAGTAAATAATTATGACATAAAGCATTTCTGAATGCTGATTGGTTAAACATACAATTTCATTTTGACAAATAAAAGCAATATTGTTAAAGTTTAAAGCAAAGCACTTCATTTTTCTACACGGCATTGTCTAGTTGAAAAATCTTTCAATTCATATTGTAAAGACTCAACAGATATATTATCTGCACATCATAATAACAGATTTTAAACATATGAAAAGTGCACGTATTTTCAAAACATTAAAGGGAAGTATTTTCTCTCTTATGATGTGATAATAAATTATGTTTATTGTTTACATGCTGAAGGTGATTATCTTGAAAAAATTTAAATAATCAAATCACTGGGATTATTTTACCTGCATTGTTTGCAGACACGTATGCTAAATACACAATAGATCAGGGGGTTAACGACAGAATTCAGAGGCAAAAGACTTTCCATGAATATTGCAACTGGTATGATTTCTGGTGTCCATGGAATTTGATCATATACAGAAAGTAAGTTGAAAATCATGTAGGGTGCCCAACAACATACAAATGCTGGAAAGAGACCACAGTCCAAAAACAATGATTTAATAAATGAAGTGATTTAATCAATAAAATCGTACGTAGAAATATTGTTCAGGTCAATGGAATTCTTTTTAAAAAGCCTTTTAATTTGATCTTGCTGCAAAAGTAAATTAATTAGAATGTAAATGATCATCCATTCGATTTTAAGGGTTAAAGAGTGTCATAACGGGAGCTTGCTAAACATATCAGGTTTCTTCAAATTTTGGACATTTAGAAGCAGAACAGAGATAAAAACATCCTTGAAGGGGCAAAAGGAATTCCTACCCAATGCAATGACAAAGGTCATTCGAATTGTCTTCATCTTGGCTTTGGATATCGATGAGTTTGAATCATCGTGCTCTGATCCAGAGGATGTACTACTTTGTCTTGAGGACAGTAGTTTTGAATGTTGCCTGCTTACAGAAGCTTTTTCTTTCATCTGATAACCTTTAAATCAAAATTTATTTAACAGTGGATTAATACCGTAGAAATTTAAAACAAAAGTTAAAAAATCTAAGTTCAGTTGAAGCGTTGAATGTTTTCAAAGTGCAATAATGATACATATTATACGTTCATGTAAATAAGTTGAATCTGATTCGTCGAGAAGCATTTGTTTAAAAACACTATTACCCGCTGAATAATGAAGCCACGCCCTCTATTGTAGCAACGGTTAACATTGCTTGACGACGGGTGATATTCCAAAAAATATTGACTGCGCAGAATTTATGCGCGCAAAGTTCACTGTAATATGTATTTGTATAAAACATTCAGTATTATACAATTAATTACCCCAAATGAGGTCAACACATGGTGAAATAGGAACGCGAGACCTGGCCCACGAGGTGACCTGACCTGACCGTAGCGGCCGAGGTCAGGTCAGCGAGTGGGCCAGGTCGAGGGTCCTTATTTCACCATGTTGAACTCATAAGGGGTAATCAATTGTTTTATTATATCGATATAAGTTAAAACCATTTTTGTAGGCTTAATTACTAAAATAATCAATTGTGTATTAGACCTACGAAATATTATTATCAGTGTTTCATCGGGATCGGGATTCGCGAGTGAAGTTGTTTACTTTTCGCCTGCAAGTTTTTGCACCGCCGATTTACTGCACTCTGTGATTGTCAGTAACATGCATTTTTATAAATTCACAAATACCATTTCCGATCACAATGACAATCTAGTGCAGACTTTTACTGTACAAAAGAGCCAAGTCTGCATTCGTTGAATTTGACATTGTAACGAAAGTTTCAATGAAAACGATTAATTTTATGACGCATCTAAAGGACAATCGTATTCCGTATCATAAAAAGACTATACATATTTTCATAACGGCATTTTTTGTAATAAACAGTCATTACTGTATGCATTATTTTTTAAATTTAAAAGGAATTTAGATTAACAGGTCATTTTTAGCGGTCATTATTTATAATGACCGGGTCATTATACCCCACGTGCAATGATTCCTAGGTCATTATTGCTATAAATGGTACTTTTTGGAGTCATTATTGAGTTTAAAAGCCTTTTAACAAGCCAATCAAATTTGAGTATTCTTAATAGAGGTATAATAAAATATAATAAATATTGCATGTAGTTGAGTTTAACATTGAAAATTTTCACTCCTCGAAAACCATTGTCAACCCAGGAGCAGTCGAGGTTGACAATAGTTTTCGAGGGGTGAAAATTTTCAATGTTACACTCAACTACATAAAATATTATGTAATGTAATATGAGGAATTCCAACAGATGAATTTAGGAAGTTGGAATGTACTTCTGGCCCCGGTGCCATAAAACTTAGTTGAGCTCACTTTTGATCTCAGTCTTACTTTTCCACTATAAATTCCTTTGATTTTGTTTGTTTGTTTATTGTTTCACGTCCCTCTCGAGAATTTTTCACTCACATAGAGACGCCACCGCTTGCCGGTGGAAAGCTGTGCAAATTTTGACTTATACTCGGCACACAGGGCCATTGAGCAGTGAAGGATCTTTTTCGTGCCAGCACCTACTGCGACACGGAACCTCGGTTTATACGGTCTCATCCGAAGAACCGGTCTCCATGTCCTACAGTGGGATTCGAACTCGCGACGTAAGGATCATCTCCTTATTCCGCGACTCTAGAGCGGCGAACGCTCTAACCACTGCGCCACGCGGGCGACTAAATTCCTTTGGTAAAAGTGAGACTGAGATCAAAAGTGAGCTCGTCTAAGTTTTATGGCCCCGGAGCCTGATGTATTTTTCTAGTACCTTCGTTTCTTGCTGAGACTCTCCATATTATAACAGCTATCGTAGAGTAACACCCGACGATGATGATTGTAGGAATAACAAACACGAAGACAAAGATGACGGTGAAATAAATCTATGGAGATAAACAATATTTAGACTCTTACAAATATTTTACATATTGTATACTTTAATTTAATTAAAATATACTATGAGAAAAATATTTTAAACATTAACAAATCTAACGTTTTTTAGCTCACCTGAGCTGAAAGCTCAAGTGAGCTTTTCTGATCACCCGTTATCCGTCGTCCGTCCGTCCGTCCGCCCGTCTGTAAACTTTTCATATTTTCAACTTCTTCTCAAGAACCACTTAGCCAATTTTAACCAAACTTGGGACAAAACATTCTTGGGTAAAGAGGAGTTTAAATTGTGAAAATGAAGGGCCAAGCCCCCTTCAAAGGGGAGATAATCAAGAGAAGAAAAAAATTGGATGGGGTCATTAAAAAATCTTCTTCTCAAGAACCACTGGGCCACAAAAGCTGAAACTCATGTGGAAGCATCCTGGGGTAGTGTAGATTCTAAATTGTTCACATCATGACCCCAGCGGGTAGGGCGGGGCCACAATAGGGAATCCAAGTTTCACATTGAAATATGTAGTAAAAATCTTTAAAAATCTTCTCAAGAACAACTGGGTCAGAAAAGCTGAAACTTATGTGGAAGCATTCTGGGGTAGTGTAAATTCTAAATTGTTCATATCATGACCCCCGGGGGTAGGGCGGGGCCACAATAAGTGCTACTACAAGGGGGGAAATCATGTGAAAAACAGCAAGGCCAAAGTTACTCACATGACCGTTGTGGCCCATGGCCCTCTTGTAATTATAATTGTATAATTGTTTATGATTGATTGATTGATTGTATGTTGTTTTACGTCCCGTTCTAGAATTTCTCACTCATATAGAGACGTCACTATATATCGATGAAGGGCTTCAAATTTAGACCTTAACTTGGCACTCATGGCCATTGAGCAGTGAGTGTTCTTTATCTTGCCAACGCCTACCGTGACACGGGGCTTCGGTTTTTAAGGTTTCATCCAAAGGACCCGCAACTTTCATTTCAAAGTGCCAAGTGCCTGGCAAAAGAACAGTTGCTCCCTATTTTTTTTTTGTCGACTCAGGTCAGTCGTGGCCGTGATTCGAACACACGATCTTCCGATCACGGAGCGAGCGCTCTACCGACTGAAGGTTTATTGTTAATGAGTTACTGACTTAACAGGATTTGATAAAACAATTTTCAGTGATCTTCAACACTGACACATGATCTTTAGTCGAATAATGAAACATCGTAAATTCATGGGCAACAATATATTCAAGTTTCGATATATTCAAATCAAGGACTTTTGGTGCGAAAATGATTTCAATATTTCTTTGACCTGGGCCTTCGAAAAAATAACGTTTGTTCAAGATCTGGATTACCATTACATGTATATGTAGCTCTTGAAAAAGATCCTACTAAATTTTGATTCCATTCCGATCAAAGAGATCTTAAGCTACAACTCATGATTTCAAAATTTCAACGACCTATGACCGTGATATTTGAAACATTATTTTCATTCAAGATTTTGACACATCTTTTAAGCAAAGCATATTAAATCTATTGGTATCTATTCTAATCAATGTCAATTTTGCGACATTCAACCTGGCTTTAACAATCAGCGTTCTAGAATGCAGTTCACTTTGGAATCGCTAATATTGAAGTACCAACTGCATTCTAAAATATGATTGCTGCAAAAACCTTATCATTTTCTAGTTAAGAAGCAGGGGTGGGTGTGATACATGTATTTAATAATATTTTAGTAGTTCTAGTGAACATTTTAATTATATTTATTTCTCAAATATCTCTTTCATTTGAAACTGTATCGATGCATACAAGTGAGACTCTTATCACTAGAATATCTTACAAAATTTCTTTTTTATTCCAAATACCTTCATATCAGAATGATCCAAATCTACATAGCACTCCTGATATACCGCATCATATTTGAAAACAATAGGTCCTGTCACAGAGACAATGACTGCTGCCACCCAACAAAAGATACATATTATTGTAGGGTTTCTCCCTGAAATTAATTAAAAGCCTCTTAGAACAAAATGTTATAAAGATAAAATTCATTACAACATAAAATGTTTCAAACAAGATAAAATAATTGCACTGCTTTTGTATTCTCCTTATAATGTACGGACCGTTGAAGTTTGGTTGCTTGAAACGTATCTAAATGGTTAATACTCGATCTGTAGCTAAAAAAAATTGCCGATGTCGGATAAAGTAGAATTATTTCAAATTATCAGTCATAGAACTTTCCTTCACTTTCAATTTTTCACAAGTGCCATAACAACAAAGAGTCACTCAATGTCCAATGCTCTACAGGTACTTACTTCTAATTGGTAAGCGCACCAGGTGAAAAAAGCAAATCTACTCTGGGTACAAGGTGTTCACTACTACTTAGCAGACTAACCAGGTGCCAGAAAACAATAGTTCCGAAATTTTTTGGCATTTACCTCTACTTGCGAGACTCCCCAAAGGTCTGATGAGGATGTGTAGACGATCGATACTCAGGGCTATCATGATCATGTTGGATCCATAAATTCCAATGTTCTGATATATATATATATATATATATATATATATATATATATATATATATATATATATATATATAAATATAATTGATGTTTCCTTCCATAAAACATTGATATCAGAAGTATTTTTAAGAAAGTTCATGACTTAGTCATTTAAATTTTAGCAAATTAAAACATGTACAATGTATGTCAAACCTTCAAAAGAAGTACTGTTGAAATGTATTTTGGGCGAGTACATCTCATACATCAAACATATTTAATATATGTTTGTTGTACATCGTAAGAAATTTGTACGAGAGTTACAATATGTCGAAAAAGCAATTACTTTTTTTTATCCTAGCCATTTACATATAAGGCTCCATTACTCTTAGTCTTAAAAGATTAGATTTTTAGTACAAATCATAGTATTTGAAATAGTTTCCTCCGTAAGGAAGTTTTTATTATACAGAAAGAAGTTCGCATGCGTGCGATCTTTTTTGAACATTTCAAAATTCGTGGTTTATTGTTTGGAAAGTTCAAATTTAATGACTTCTGATCTTACCGATAGAAACTCTTGTAATTTACACAGTGTGTTCCCACCATAGAAAATTCCATCATTCGAATGTACCGCAATTCGTGGAATCACAAAAAATATTCCACAGAGCAAATCTGAAACGACAACATATGCTCTGAACGTAACTTTTTTTATTTTGTTTTTTAAAAGACTAGGAATATTTTGTCCAATTAGGCCTTTGTATAACTTTTATTTTGATAGTATAAAACGAAGCGAAGCTACAATTATTCAGAATTTTAAATGACAGCAGGAATAGCTTATTATTGGATTTGAAAATTATCATTTGCCAAGACGGTAGAATATTTAAATAATGATAATTATAATAGTTTATAGTTAACGATAATGAAAACTGAGACACTATGCAAACTATAGTTTAATATAGTGATAACTTTGTCATTTTGATTGACTATAGTGATAACTTTGACATTTTGATAGACTATAGTGATAACTTTGATAGACTATAGTGATAACTTTGACATTTTGATTGGCTATAGTGATAACTTTGACACTTTGATTGACTATAGTGATTACTTTGACACTTTGATTGACTTTAGTGATAACTTTGACATTTTGATAGACAATAGTGATAACTTTGACACTTTGATTGACTATAGTGATAACTTTGACATTTTGATTGACTATAGTGATAACTTTGACATTTTGATAGACAATAGTGATAACTTTAACATTTTGATTGGCTATAGTGATAACTTTGACATTTTGATTGGCTATAGTGATAACTTTGACACTTTGTTTGACTATAGTGATAACTTTGACATTTTGATAGACTATAGTGATAACTTTGATACTTTGATTGACTATAGGGATAACTTTGAAATTTTGATTGACTATAGGGATAACTTTGACATTTTGATTGGCTATAGTGATAACTCTGGCACTTTGATTGGCTATAGTGATAACTCTGACACTTTGATAGACTATAATGATAACTTTGACATTTTGATTGACTATAGTGATCACAAGGACACTGTTGTGATAACTTTGATAACTTTGATTTTATACTGTGATATTTTAGAAATATCATGTTCTTTCAGTCATTGAAAAATATTAGGTTTCAAAATATCCTATACTTACAAGATAATTTCAAATGAAAAGCATTGCATACAAAATGAATTAAATTCTCAGGCAGATTCAACAGATATATCTATGGTAAAAAAAATCTAGAAAACTTGATATAATATCTTAAATGTAAAATTAAATGATACTTCTATCGCAAAGTGATTTCCTGTCCTAATGACCTTGAAATTCTTATTAACAATAGATGTAGGTCACTTTGAAACTTTGATTAACTAAAGTGATACTTTTGGTACTCTGATTTATTAAAGTGATAATTATTATACTACAGTAATAGTACAATATGTGTATATATATTATGTATAAGATATAGTAAAGTGATGCCTTTGAAACTTTGATTGACTATAGTTAGCTATAGTAAATAGTAAACTTAGTTAACTGTTGTTTATAATAGTATTTTGTCAGGAGTTCACATAAAGTACATGTCATCAATAATTACATCTGAATACCAACGAGGATTAGAAAAATGTGCTATTTGTATAAGTTTGTCGATGTTTTGGATCATTTGGATCAATGGATTCGGGTTTAACACTCAGTTTAGCTTTAAAAAACTGTAGGAGATCGGAATTAACTTCACATTATTATTAAGTTTACCTGCCACAGCCAAGTTCTTGATGAAAAAATGCATCCTTGACTTCTGACCCTCAACGATGATAACTGTAAGAACTGTGATATTGCCAACCAAGAGGATGACCAATAAAAACACCTCAAAGGTTATCTGCTCTATCTATATAAAATAGATAAAACAGATATCGTGACCATACAAAAGGTAAAAATATGAAAGATTCTTACACAAAAATACATCATACATTATATCAGTGGGTGTGGGTGTGTGGGTGTGTGTTCTTTAACATCTAAAGCTTGTACTATTTCTTCGAAAGTGTCCAAAAATTTGAGACAGAATGACTTAGAAACTTACCATAAAAAAAATAATGATAGAAACTATTTAATAAAAAATCGAAAGAAGCAAATTACACGAATGTTCATTTTGTTCACGAAAAATGTAAAACATAACTGATTTTCAGTAAACAATGTTTTTATTCTATGTGATCTTTTGTCGGAAGGATATAGTGAGACATATGTTCTATAAGACCACAAGTTGTGCGGCGATATCCTCTACAAAATTTATAATATGTCAAGTTAAAATGTTACTGAATAAACAATATGTCCCAGCAACTTAAAAAAAATACAACGCAAAACGATTTCGCATGTGTTTGAGAAAAGTACGTACAGAATTATGCTGTATCAGTTCATTTCATTCATTGTATTTGATTGTATTTCAGAAATACATTAGATTTGCCAAACATACCTATCAAATATTTATTTATAAAATGAGCAGTAGGGGTTTTTTTTGTTCTTGTTTGAATCCCATATCTTTAGACAATGCAAACACATCATTATGGAAAGTTTCCAGATTTACATTTTAATCTTTGAGCATATTTAAAAACGTTTAAAAGTTATTTTACAACAGGTTTCTAACTATATTGTTGAGACATATAGTCCTATTTTGGTATAGAACCAAATATAAAATTAGTGAGATACTACGTAGCATACACTTATATTTCTACTATTTCAATTTACATTTTTCCCATCTCGGAACAATTTGTGATATATATATATATATATATATATATATATATATATATATATATATATATATATATATATATATATATATATATATATATATATATATATATATACACTTAAATAAATGAAAACAGAATGCTACAGTCCAAATTAAATAAAATCTTTACTGATAGCGCTTTCAGCCATGTTGGCTCTTCAGACAATTATGAAAAGTTCAAAACGTTGCCAATAACGTTGCTAATGACGTCGTAAAAACTTTTCATAACTGTCTGAAGAGCCAACATGGCTGAAAGCGCTAACAGTAAAGATTTTATTTAATTTGGACTGTAGCATTCTGTTTTCATTTATTTAAGTATTTTTTACTGTACCAAGAATTTAACTTATCAACGTATATATATATATATATATATATATATATATATATATATATATATATATATATATATATATATATATATATATATATATATATACCTCCGTCATGAACAGTTAAACGTGCAATAAATTGCATCTAATTGGTGTCAATTTTCTTTCAAATTACAATTTAAAATATCAACGCTAATACAATGAATTTATTGCCAGCTGCTTATAATGTGAAATGTTCAACATCAATAAAATGTGTTACAAGTTCTAGAGAGGCTACTCAGACTAAAAATTGATAAATTGAAAAAAACATTTTAAAGATATACTTATATACTCAAAAACTGAAGAAAATATAAAGCAACACTTACTTTATAGGGATTATAATGTATGGGATAAGTTGCATTACCCTCCTGGTAATAACTGTCATACGTGTAATCCTCCATTACAATATTATTTTTATGATCTTCTTTAAACAGGGGTTCTATATTTATGTTACATCACTCATGGAGCGAACACTTTTACATGCTTGATGCAAGAACACGTGACCATGATCTGAACACACTAAAGTTATGGAGATCTATCCTTGCTATAATATGACAGTTTTATAAACTCAACACCTTTGTCGTCATTCAATAAAGTAATGAAACATCACAGTAAAAGTCGGGACTTAAAGTGTTTTTTTCTGCAATGTTTGCATATATGTAACTAAATTTCAGTGTATTTGTTTGATAAGATATGATTGTTTACTCACTTTGAGGAAATTATTATCCTTTTACTTCGAAGTTTTGCTGCAAACTGCAATTGTAATGATATACAGTATCTAATCATTAATAACCGTACATAAATTAGACATATTACATATTTATAAATATAGAGAAGAAATTCTGAAATTACAAAAATTAAGTATGGTATCGTAACACACACACAGAGAGAGAGAGAGAGAGAGATTGTGGGTGTGGGTGTGTGTGGGTGTGAGTGAGAGAGATGTTGCTCTACACATGTAATTCTTATAAAACATTCAAAGGTTCAATCATATTTTTAAGAGTGTTCTACGAAAAAATATTTGTAATAAGTATGTTGCTACTTAAACTTAAGTAGATCATAAGATAATACGACAGGGTTTTTTCTTCAAATTCTAAATCTCCAGGGTATACTTCTTAAAGTGTAACCGAATGATACATCTGTCAGAAAAACATATGTCATTCATCGTTAAATTCATTGTAAAATTTTTAAGCGTACGGAGTATGAATAGTTTCAACTAAAGGAATTAAGCAGCTTCATCTTCGAAGGTATGTCGGTTGTAATACTACAGTTTCAACAGAAGAGTCGAGTGTCATGCCTCCTCCACATTCGATGATTTTTTAAACTCCTGATCAATGTTTTAAGCAATTCATAAAAGTACTTTAGATTACAACAGAATATCTTCTTTTTGAGAAAAGGTTAATCACTCCTACAGCGTCAGCTGCTGTTATTGTTCTGTGCATGCTTGCATGCATGTATGTCCGTGTTTACATTACGTCATATTTTCAAAACATCAATTCAGATAACTACAGTCGTTCTAAAAGAGGATCGATCGATAGAATAAAAACTCTTTTCTTCAGTGTTAAAAACAGAAAATACACATCTGTCTAATTTCTGAAAACACGTAAATTAAATCATGATCCATATTTGTGAAGGTGGATGATATTTTGTATGGATATTGTGTAGATATCTTTACATTCAAACATTGTTTGATAATCGGATATTTTTTCCTGCATGCTAAAAGCTTTTTTATGTCTAATCTTGTATCTCCTAGCTGATGATAAAACGCCATTTAATGGTGGTGGCTAATTTTGTCTGGAGGAGTTCTCGAAGATGGTTTGAACAGCCTTGATAAAACTTCACAGAAATGATACTCGTTTTGTGATGTAAAATTACGCGAAGTATCGCAAACTTTATGTAAACAAGTTCTAATTGTAACGGAGACATTTACAGATGTTCCTCAAACGCTCCCACTACTCCCTTTGGGGCCCCAAAAACATTCCCTATATGCTTAACCTTTAGTCTATAAGCAAAACCTGTGTATTATAGAATTAAAGCACTTATTTTCAATAGTTTTTTAAGAAATAACAATGCAAATATAGCACAATGACTATTAGCAAATCAGATTTAAGTACACATGATTTCGAAAATTACCATTTACATATATAAAATCTGATAGAATTCATAATAAAATTTAAGTTTCAAAGAATTTCACTGAATACATAGTTACAGCAACATGATATTAAGCAATCAAAAATCAGCGCGCGTGCATGCATGTCCTCATATTCATTTCTAATGGTTGACTAGTGTAGGAACTTATATTATTTACACATACTCTGAGTTTCATTTTCTTTTGTTAACAATTAAGAATGTTAGAAATACTAACAGCCTTAGCCAATCAGATTTCAGCACACGTACTTGCGGGTATTTTGTCTAGATTTCTCACATATATATTGTTATAGTGCCTTATAATAACATATGCCAATGTCTTAGATTTCAAAGAATTATTCTGAATAGTAAGAGAGATACAACCTATAAAGTATTAGCCAATAAGATTTCAGCACACGAGCATGCATGTTCTTGTATTCAATTTTGATAGTAGCATAATGAAGGAACCCATTATACCTATCTACTGTATATTCCAAAATTTCATTTTGTTCTGTTGAAAAGTGAAAAAGTTATAGTCTTTTAAAGTTTCAGCCCATCAAATTGCAGTACAGGTGCATGCGCATGTTTTCAAGTATTTCTGTTTATAATATATTGTAGAGCTCTATAATATATATGTATATATTAAAATTCAGAAGGTCTTTGTCAAAAAATGAGGAAGATATTGATATTTTTCTTTCAGCCAATCAGAGCGAGCAGCATATGCATGTGCGTGAGTTCATGCTAATTTGACCATGTCATCTTGTCTACATTGCTAATATATCTCTATGTTTTGAGTTTCAAAGTATTGAAAATATAAAAGTTATGGCTATATTAAGTATATCAATCATTTCACTCATTGCACGCGCAAGCACGTGCATGCATTAAAAAGGTTTCAAATATATATATATATATATATATATATATATATATATATATATATATATATATATATATATATATATATATATATATATATATATATATATATACATATTTATTTATAACATTTTTAGAAAATACTTTGACTGAAGACTCGCACTTTATTTCCCTCCACAGCAGAAGGTAAAGGGGTAATCGGTTAACACCTATACAGATTGCATACAAGCAGGATAGGCTTTTAAATCTTTTTTTAATGAGGTAAAGATCATTTGATCAGTAAAGAATTATTCTCAAAGAATATCAAAATAAGCATTGAATTAATATTTTTGACATGCTTTGTATCGTATCACGGACAACTTTCGATAATGCGCATAATTGTTTGGGGTCTTGTAAAACGCCTTCTGCCCGAGAACGTAGTCAATACTTGTTTTGTTGTATCCTTAACTGGCTCCCATGTTCGCATTTTGATGTAAATGTCGTGTATCCTCAGTGTGGATTCTAATTTCAAATCGCTCAATTCTGTAATTGTCGTACACCAACACATGCATATTAGATATTTTAAATAGCTTATAGAAGCGGATGTTTCTGAGAAAGAAAGTGTGTTGTAAAAAACCAATATCTTACCAAACCGTCCAACAATGCGTCCTTCGAACTGCTTGAGGTAAACCATAGGAAATATACTTTGATATCATAGGAAATATACTTTGATATCATAGGAAATATACTTTGATAAATCTATTTATATAGGAACCAATTTTAAAGGTATAAAAAGCTTTATTTTTTACTTTTAAAAACCATTTGATATATCGATCTGACTATAAAAGACTTACATTTCCAATGTCATTTCTAAGAGGTCCAAAAGCATTCGAAGATGGACCAGTCAGTGAGACGTTTTGATCACGTCACACTCAATTTAGATTCGTTAATCCTCAGGTTAAATTAAATCATCCAATACGGGTCAACAGGTTTTACATGTATTTGATTTGCATTCTTGGTGTTTGACAGTTACAGAAATGACTGAGCTTAATTTGATTTGCGGTTAAATGAAATTTATATCGGAATTCCTTGGCATACATGTTACATGCACAACTACACTTTGTGAGTATCATTTGTGTGAAGTTTCATCCATCTGCGAGAACTCCTGCAGACAAAATGAGGTTAACAATAACAATACGTCACGTTTGAAGTGACATACTTTATGATTTGGTGGATCAGTCAAAAGGAAATATTTGCAAAATAAAATTCACATTGTGGTAATCAAACTGGAAACACATACAACACAAAATGTTTCATTAAATACAACATATATTTCTGCGTTATCTTTCCTTCCTTGTTTTTTTTTTTAAATCCATACAATTTTGTGCTTGGGGTCCTAAAGTCATAAAACACTAGTAAGTAAAATGAAAATATATTTTGTTGGACCTGAAAACAAATCGTTGCATATGTCTTTTAATGATTTACCTCGGATGGATATCACTACTATATTAGAGGACTCAATTTTGCTTAGCTTTAGTCAAAATTGTCTTCTTTCACTTTTCTTAATAAGAAAACTAATTAGTGATGTGATTTCAAAGAACATTCTGTATGAATCTGCATTATTTTAAAAGCCTATAAAAAAAACTAAAGAATGGTATGAAAAATATTAAATGCAAGGCAGAGAATACTAAAGATGATATCTAAATTACGAGTGTTATTTATTTTTTTGTCACGAAAGATTCAATTAAATTGTGAAATTTTGAAACATGCAGCTTTTATCAAATATTATCTCGACCATCAAAGAGTATTAACTGGAAATTCAAAATGATTTTTATTATTTATTATTGTGTTTTCATTATTAGTTGTGATTTTACGTATTTTCAACATTTAAACTATTTTGGGATATTCATGTCGAAGTTTTCACAATGAATTTTTTCTTTTCATTTTTTCCTTGCCTAATGAAAAAATTGTAAAAATGGGCCTTAATGGTCACCTGAGTATAATACAACAATGTAAAGGATCCATAGAAGTATACAATAAGATAAACTGAAAGATGTTGCCAAATATTAGTCTCATACACATTATGACTCTCTTCCAAAGGTCATATCTGATGGACAGAAGGATACTTCGTTTAGAGCATGAAATATATGGAGATAACGAACAGTATTCAAGCTCAAAAGTCCATTAAACAATACAAAATAGGAGCAGAACAAACACGGACCTCCAAAACGTCAGAGGTAGGATCAAGTGTCATGGAGGACTGAGCATCTCCTGCCGATCGGTCACACACTCTGTGTGCTCCTTGTCATAATCGGGAAATAACGGAAAAATCCGTCGACAATTCAGTGTGTAAATAATGACCCAACAATTAGTATGAAAAATGTCATTCAGCATTTGACTTAATGATAAACTGTATTTGCTGACAACGTCATTGTATCGACCATAGAACTTACG